TAATTTCTGTTTTACATTTACTTTATTTGATAAATTTATTATTTGTGTTTTGCCACACCACTGATTAAATTAAACCAAGGAAAATATCATAAAACTAAGCAGTACACAGTGTTCTTTTGTTTCTAAAATCAATGAAATATCTGTAACTACGTTTACTTAATGGTACGTGTGAAAATTTAAAGGCAATGGACGATGAACTGATTAAAAGAACTGATTTGTATATTAAGTTGTTTACATTTTTTAGTCCTTGATGCTTTGATAATCATATTAGTTTTGTCTGTTGTCTTTAATGCTAAATTGTTTGTTTAACATTTTTTATTATAGTATAGATATAGTTTCTTTAATATTTCAAAATACTGTATTGATAAGGCACAACAATATTTCAAAAGTGTATAACAGCTGACATAGTTTTGCTAATGATTTATTGTGAGTGAAGAAACTGAAGATGGAAGAATTTGTGATTTAATATGAAGAAGAGGGAAATTAAAAAAAAATGTTCATTTAAATTTAATAATTAGTATTTGTGCAACTTCAAAATTGAAATATAAAATGTCAATAATAAATAAAAAGATATGTAATCAAGGGAGATGAAGGTAAATCATGTATGTCGAAGTTTTATTCGATGATTTGGTCAGTTTTTCTCATATCAGCCTACACAAGATTTAAAATAATCAAAACCAAAATGTTGGTATCCACTACTTACCAGGTTTAAAAGTCATAACTTAAACGTTTCTATTAAGGCCATAAAAGTTGAATTTTGTCTCTAAAAGCGTTGGCGGATGTGTAACTATTATATGCAACAGATGTAAAGATTGAAATGTTTCTATTTTGTGTCCTCTTCCCGTTGCAAAGCACGGGTTCAACAGCTAGTATATATATATATATATATATATATATACAATATAAAAATTTGAACGAATGGTGTTTTTGGCCTCTGGGGACATCAAAATGAAAAAGTAAATCGGTCCCGGGCCTAAGTCTTACCATGAGACCTACGGTAATAGCTACTTCCCTATAGGGAAATTCGCTAAAAGCCCAAATTCAGCCCAAATTTTATCAAATACAGAGACTATCAAAATCTCAATCTCACTGCTCTGCTTTTAGACGCTTCTACCCTACCGTGGGATGTGGTTACTAATGATCCTGATGTCAATTCAATGGTTGAACATTTTACTTCCCTCATTTCTAATCTTCATAATAAACACTGTCCAATTGTATCTAAAAGAGTTTCGAAGCCACCTGCTCCTTGGATAAAATAGAGATGCTGCATTTCGTAAAGCCAAGCGCACCAAGCTACCTAATGACTGGGCCTGTTACAAAAGGCTCAGGAATCAAACCCAACAACAGATCAGAAACTCAAAAGCTAGGTATTATTTTACATCTTTCTCCCGGAAACAATCCGCCAAAACTTTGTGGACCAAAGTTAAGAACCTTGGTATCGGCAAATCTGACAATTTACATCAAATAACTATTAGTCTCGACACGATTAACAACTTTTTTGTGAATATCCCTATAAGTTCTGCAGGTGCATTTAACTATGTTGCCGATATCACATCTAGACCACTTGATATGCCAGAAACCCAGTTTTTCTTTTCCCCAGTTAGTGAATCTGAAGTCCGCAGGGCAATTCTGAGGATGACAAGTAACGCAGTCGGCGCCGATGATATTCCTATCAGGTTTATTAGAGACACTCTTCCAGTTACTCTCCCGGTACTAACTTCCATATTTAGTCATAGTCATAGTCAAAGTTCTTTATTCATTTTTTGTACATAGTTTGTACAGTAAATAGCGTCATATATAATACAATACTAAATCTAATTAAAATCTACTATTTACAGTTAACCAAGCAAAAATGAAAAGTAATAACAAAAATATTTATATCTACAGTAGGTTATATCTGGGAGGTGGAAAATTCTTCTATGGAGTAAGGGGCCAGTTGTATTAAATATTCTTTCAGCAATTTCCTGAACTTATTTAAATTATTTTCTCTTCTTATGTTTTCTGGAATATATTTAAGAAAAGTATATCCTGTGTAGCTTGGTTTCTTTTAAAAAAACTTTAATCTATGTGGCAGGATAACCTCATTTCTCTTTCTAGTATTATACGAATGAGCTGGGGACTTAAAATTGATAGTTGTACAATTCTTTGCAATGAGAGTAGTTTCAATAATGTATTGCCCGTAAACAGTTAAAATATTTAGATTTTTGAAATGTTATTTTGCTGGTGCATCATACTCTAACTTAAGCATGATCCTGATTGCTCGTTTTTGCTGTTTTAATATTTTTTCCAAATTTAAATTTTTTGTTGAACCATACAGTGCTATGCAGAACAATATATAAGAGTGAACATGGGCGAAATAAATATTTTTTAATGTTTTCAGATCACAGTAATAAGACATTTTAGATAATGCGTGAATTCCTGAATTAATTTTGCCCAAAATTTTATGCACATGTTCGTCCCAACTCAGATTTTGATCTACTGTCAGACCCAAAAAATTTATACTTTTTTCGTGTTCAATGTTATGGTTATCATGTATTATTAAAGGTTCTAGTAGTATTTTACTTTGAGCTGTCTTGAACATTACAAATTTAGTTTTTTGTGGATTTAAAAGTAAATTGTGATTTCTCAAATAGTTTCCAAGGTTTTCCAATTCAATGTAAGAACACACTTCAGTTTCTTCTTGTGAGGCAGTTGATAAAACGAGATTTGAATCATCAGCGTAAAGACACAACTTACTATTAAGCTTATAGATTAATGCGCTGTTTACTCCTCTCAGGTAGCAAAGAAAAAGCAAAGGTCCAAGAATGGATCCTTGAGGTACTCCAAACCTGATTGGCTTACAATTTGATGATATTTTAGTAATTTTATTATATTTAGTTAAGTTTTGATTTAATAGATCATTAGCAACTTCTACTTTCCCCTCCATCTGGAAATCTGTCATTGTTCGCCCACTTCAGAAAATTTCTTCTCCCAATACCCCTTCTGACTATAGACCAATCAGCATTCTTCCTGCCCTTTCTAAATGCCTTGAAAGAATAGTGCTTAATAAATTCTCTGTTTTTATGGAAGAGAACAAAATTATATCGGATTTTCAATCTGGGTTTCGCGCTAAATATAGCACAACCACTGCTTTGTTGAAAATTACAGATGACATCCGCCGTGCAATGGATAATAGACATGCCACAATTTTAACCCTCTTTGACTTTTCAAAGGCGTTTGACTGTGTATACCATCCTCTTTTGCTCCTTAAACTGCGCTTGGCTGGTTTCTCTGACAACTGTGTTGACTGGATTGAGTCCTATTTATCTGATCGTCAGCAGTGTGTCAAAGTCGGTGACAAATGTTCTACGTGGGAGCAGATTACTAGAGGTGTTCCTCAAGGATCTGTTCTTGGCCCACTACTGTTCTCAATTTACATCAATGACATCACAGAACATATCACTAACTCACACTACCATTTGTATGCTGACGACCTACAGATTTACTCCCACTTCAATGTAGACGAGATGGATATTGCTGTACGACTCATGAACATTGACATTGAATCGATAATTCACTGGGCTATAAACAACGGACTTAAACTCAACATTGACAAAACACAAGCGATGATTGTTGGCTACCCCAGACTAATGACTAAAATCTACTTACTCACTACACCACGACTTAACTTTGACGGAAAGGATCTCACTTACTGCGACAAAGTGAAAAACTTAGGACTCATCATGAACAAACATTTGAATTGGTCTGACCAAGCCAACTCCACTTGTAACAGGGTCTTTGGAGCTATTCACACCATCAAACGTTTTGCAGACTACCTTCCACTGAACTTGAAAATCATGTTAGTAAAAACTCTCATCTTGACTCATTTCAACTACTGTGATGTGGTGATCAATGACATGACTAATGAAGTTTCTAGTAGACTTCAGCGAGCGCAGAATTCCTGTATCAGATTCATGTTTGGCCTAAGGCGATATGACCATGTAACTCCCTATTTTAACCTGCTTTCATTGATGAAGTTAAATGAACTTCGGGAATTTCACACCCTCCGTCTTCTACACTCCATTATCAATAGTAAAATTCCCAATTATTTATCAGACAACTTCCATTTTATTTCTGACATCAGCACCTGTGCTACTCGTAGAGGCTCTCACCTTTTATCTACACCAATTCACCGGTCAAAAGTTTTTAACAAATCCTTCTTGGTATCTGCAATTCGATTGTGGAATTCTCTTCCTGACCATATCAAATCCATAGGTAACCATGCGAGGTTTAGGGCAGAGATTAAATCTATTATATTGAGCAGCAGGCTTGAGTGAGTCTCTGGCGCTGGTGTGAGGGGTTGTTGGCGGCTTGTGTGAATGGGATTTTTTTAGGATTACTTAACTTATTTTTTTATGTTCAAAATTTAATTTATTACTTTAGATTATTTGAATTTACTTATATAAGTGAATAAGTTTTTATTTATTTATGTTTTAGAGGTTAAGTGGTAGAGAGGACTTGCAAGTCCTAACTTCGCCTCTTAAATAAAGACATTTTTAATTTCATTTCAAAATACAAGTGCCTTAAAAACACTAGGCCTACCTGTTGAGCAATGGAGCTTTCTCTTGCTTCACAGTATTATTTGCAAAACCTGACTAAGTTACTCAGAATTAATTGATTAGGGTAACACATGGGTGTTTTCCCATCTTTTTGGGCATGTACACACAAATGGCCCTTACTTGTAATACGACCCTCCTACATCATAATCAATGGATTTATTTCCCCCCTAACTGTAGTGAAGTGGTTTTCCCTGATGATGTAAAAAGACTTCCTCTCGCCCCAATAAGGATTTTCAAAATGTTAGTAGCCTTCTGCATAATATTAGTCTCTGAAGTCAATATTTTCCCTACAATACAATGATCAGATCAGGTTAGGGTGATTTATGTTTGTTTGTTTGTGTGTTTGGATACTTCATAACTTTTTTTGTTTATGTCTCTGTCTATGTTTTGTTTTATTTGCAGAACAAAGCTATGTTGCGCAAGAAATAACTTTACACATCAAGAGGGGAGTTGAAGCCAAGAATTATGAACTTGTAAGTATTTTTGGGCTCCTTATTGTTATATACGTGTGTTTTTATAACAAATTAGTTTGAAATTTATTGAATTTGTATAAGGCAGGACTTTCACAAACTTGTCCTATCAATGTAGAGATAGTCAAGTCTTGGATTTACTAAGTCAAACAATCTTATAGGCAAGGTTTGTTCATATGTTTCCTATCTACAAAATTGTTAAGATATCACTGTCAATTTATCAAATACCACTACCGCTAAGTACTGTACGCTAAATTTATAAGTTCCAGCTCAAGGTTATTGAGAGACACAATACTATACCTTCCGCAAAGATTCGTGGCGGCTGAGGGATTAGGACGGTCGGGAGGTGTCCCAGCCCCTAAATTAGCCCTAGCTCGACTGCTCTGGGTTTTGACCATGAGTCACCCACTAGGCTCAATGCATAGTTGGAAGAATTTGTTTATATCACCATAAAGTGTATTAAATAACGTCAGTTTTGTAACCTTCGTCAAATAACAAGAACATTGAGCCCAAACACGAAATAATTGCGACGATATTAAGTATACATTTGGTTTTAAAATAATAGACAGTTTTCGTGTCGTGGTATGCTTAATATCATCACAATTATTTCTTGTTTGGACTCAATGTTCTTGTTATTTGATGCAGGTTACAAAAACAACGTTATTTTTAAAAATTTTACCAACTATGCATTGAGCCTAGTGGGTGACTCATTGTCAAACCCCAGAGCAGCCAAGCGAGGGCTAATTTAGGGGCTGGGACACCACCCGACCGTCCTAATCCTTCAGCCGCCACGAATCTTTGCGGAAGGTATAGGGGTGTGTAAGTGTGGTTCAGTATTTTTGAGCGAGTATTTCAGTATTTGGCTTGACTAAAGTTTTTTAAGAAAACGTGACGAGTCTGTGCTTTTTAATGGGGTTTCTGGAAACATTTATTGAGCGGAACGAGCGGAGCTCTTTGAGATCGGACCTTATGCAAACTATGTAATCAATTAACTCAATAACAGCTGAGCGTTTTGAATCCATACTTACTAGGGTTATTTTGACAAACATTTTTCAAGTTTGTAAACAAACAAATTTCAATTTGATAATGTCTGTACACTTTAAGACCAACATCAAATTTTCAATTTTTAACAGCCTTATGGGTTGCTATGATGGTTACGAGAAAAAACGTAGATGTAAACAAAGAATCGTAGCGTATGCGACTCGACATTGTGTACCCACGGGCACCTCCAAATGCGCATGCTAGCAAATTACAAAAGAAAAGGGCAGTCAGTCTGATGAATACCATTAAGCATTGATTAATAATCATGTACACTGATTCGCATTACTAATGTCTATTAATTTTGTAGCAAATATTGCTTTATAAACATCAAAAGAAAGTCTTTATTATTGAAAATGATAGAAACTGCATTTCCGAAACGGATATTCAGTATTTTCAAATACTAATTGATAACAGTAGCCTATCCTTTATAAATACAGTGATTTGCTAGGCCTGAACAGAAGTCCAGTTGCGACTATAAGAAGTAAATAAATATCAAAATTCATGTTTTCGGCCCCTGGACTATATTGTTAAGACAATAATAGGTTTTTTACATACCTCAGTCAAATAGTCCAAAAATGATATTGCTCAACAGCTTACATGTTTTGTTGCGAAGAAAACATTTTCAAAGCTTGCAACTTGTCAAAACACATTTAAAACACGGACACGAACACAGAAAACATTAATGTGTTTTGACAAGTTGCAAGCTTTGAAAATGTTGTCTTCGCAACGTAACATGTAAGCTGTTGAGCAATATCATTTTTGGACTATTTGACTGAGGTATGTAAAAAACCTATTATTGTCGTAAATAAATCCCTATGCTTTTATAGAAGTACACTTTCAACTAAGGTCAATCAATCAATCAAAATAACTTTATTCATATTGCACATTTTGTACAGAATGGAGTCAGTTATAAAAACACAATATTAAACTCCGACTACTTACAGAGAATATTGTTTCTCTCAAAAAATCAAATTTCAGGAAGTTGAAAAAAAATCTTCTAATTTATACAAGGGTCTATTGGTGAGAAATAATTTCAAACATTTTTTAAATGAATTAAAATTAGTTATATAGGTGTGTAAATAATATTGATACGCTTGTGCAGTTACGATTACGATACGTAGGCCTAATAGACTATACTGCTAGGCCTCTACAGAAGTTCAGTTACAACTATTTAAGTAAATATTTAACTAAGCTTTAATAGAACTCAACTTTTAGCTTAAATGTGTAAATCATTTTCTGTAAAGAGAATAAAGAGATACAGTTACGATTGCGAAAAGTAGGCCAATAATTAATTAGCCTAGATAGACAGACTGCTTGGGAGTGCTTGCCGTACGGGACAGTACAGTTATAATTAAGCGTGATATGATAATCGATATTCCTCCTTTTGCGTAATAAGATTAATTTGCAGCCAACAGACCAAGCCTGTTGGCATTTTAATGTCGGGTTGGAAATTTACTACAATCCAACATGTTTTTGATAAACACATCACAGGCTCAACAACGCAGATTAAGTGCCATAGCCTAATACAGAAACGTCTTTTATAATTTAATTTAATACCGGTACTTTTGTTGTTTATTCTGCATGTATTTTATTTACTCATGCAGTAAATTATCATGTGCAATAAATTTATTATTGTTTAAATCATTAATGCTCTCTCTATACAGTAACGTCGTTCAAATCTAATCTATTTAATGAGTAGGCCTATTCTGGCAACAGCCGGGGCGGGGCTAGCGCAAACGTCACCAATAGCGTCGCGGAAATTTCGCCATCTTTCTCAGGTAACAGCAGCTTGTGAAATTAGCCACGCCTTTTACTTTCTTTGGTGACAATTGAATATGTAGTATACATAGTCAATAAGTCAATGATATGATGATCTATTGATTTCCTGTCCACTGACCTTCCACTAATAGCTGTCCACTAATAGCATATTTTTTAGTTTGAAGCAATGGTAGACTATATTACATAAATGTGAGCTAAATAAACTGCGATGTTTTAAACTTACTAGATTGGAAAAAAATGTTTATCTGTATGTTATTTCAAACATGCTGTTTTAAATATAAAAGTAAAAATCCATGACTTAAGAGGGCGTTGGAGTGCGGCCATGTTGGATTTTTACCTCCATAAGAACAATGTTAAACTTAAACCCAGATATCTCACTTATTTGCCAATATAAAATTATGAACTATGTTTCAAATTAAAGGCATATTTGATACACATCATTATTGCGGGAGACTTTTTAACAAAAGTAAAGGGATTTCTAGGAATATAGAATGCAAAACCTATACATTCATCAACTTATTTTAGCTTTGCTAGGACGACATAAAAGAAACTATTCCGCAAACATGATCCGAAATGTTATTAAGATTAAAATAAAATATATTTCAAATCATTAAGTCAAACAGTAACAAAAAAATATGCTTTTAAGTGAAGGCATGTTCCGCACGTTTCAATGGGAAATTGCCACTGGTTTGCATGCGCTCTCCTGGCATCAGCGAAGATTTTTAATCTGACTCCAACGCCCTCTTAATAGAATCAGATGACTGGATTCATTTTTCCTTCAACTCCTCCAACCAAGAATTCAATTGCATTGTTGTTATGGTGTCGTAATGTGTTCAATTTGAATTTGAATCATGTAATTGCTATTTACGTTACAAGTGTAGTAAGAGCTTTTTTTGCGAGTTGCATAATTCACCTAAGTGATGTAAACACGCTCTTGCGTAACGTGTAACGTACAAGATTTTACCTGACCCCACAATATACAGGGGGTTACGTACAATATTTTTCATTATCAATTTCACTCATCTTCTAATAGTAATATTCTTTTACAAAAAAAAGCTAGGTTAGGATAATAGTTTAAAGCATAACAATAACATTCAAACGCACGTCTGATTTCTACCGTTGAACGTTCTTGGCTCCATAGAGGTATATTTCATTAAGTTGAGCACTCAATGTTATTTGAATGGGTTTCATTACTTCACCGAGTGAGCTTTTGAAACTTTACTTCACCGGGTGAAGTAAAGAAGTTGTTTACATCACTCTTGGGATAGGGAAGTTTAACATGGCGGGTTGGGTAATAGCTATTTACATGACAAGTGTAGTAAGAGCGTTTTTACGTTATCACGCAGGTGAATGTTGTGCAACGAGCGGAAGCGAGCTGCATAATTTACCTAAGTGATGTAAACACGCTCTTGCGTAACGTGTAACGTATAATATTTTACTTAATCCGACAATATACAGGGGGTTACGTACAATATTTGTCATTATCCATTTCACTTATCTTCTAACGGTTACGTTCATTTACAAACAAAAGCTAGGTTAGGAAAATTCTTCAAAGTATAACAATAACATTCAAGCACACAGCTGAGTTCTAGCGTTGAACGTCGTTGGATCCATAGAGGTATATTTGTTAAGTTAAGCACTCAATGTTATTTAAATGGGTTTCATTACCTCACCGAGTGAGTTTTTTCAACTTTACATCACTCGCGAAGTAAAGAAGTTGTATACATCACGCTTGGGATAGGGAAGTTTAACATGGCGGGTTAGGTAAACAAATTAAAGTTATGGGATGTGTTTACTTTGCTTGTTTTTGTACGTGCGTATCCTATTAGCTGGATCTATTTTTAGTACATCTTTAAGCAAATTTCCCATATAGGGAATAAGCTATTACTGTAGTACTCATGGTAAGACCTGGACCTGGGACCAATTTAATTTTTTATTTTGAGGTCCCTAGAGGCCAAAACACCATCCGTTCAAATTCATATATATATTTATCTATGTATATATATATATATATATATATATGTGTGTCCGTTAGTGCGATAACTCAAGCAAAAATGATCCGATTTTGATGAAATTTGGGACAAACGTGTAAACCTACGTTTATTCGAACGAGTTCGCGATCCAGCATAGGGGGGTTTTATGGAGTAAAAATGGGGTTTTCCCATTTTTGACTCTTAAAAAAA